TTCTGGGAGTTGAAGTCCACACATCTTCAAGCTGCCAAGGTTGAGAAACACTGATCTAGAGGGTACCAGGATGAAAAAGAGGTAGAAGAGATGTGTACTCTTTTTTAGTAAGTACAGGTAGTCCTTGTTTAGTGACTGCCTCATTTAGTGGCCATTCAGTTATGATGGTGATGAAAAAGTAACTTTACGACCAACCCTTGCACTGATGACCTTCACAGGTCTGTGAAGCAAAGGAAAACTGGAGTAAGATCATAAGCACAATCATGGTTTCACTTAGCGACCATTTCACTTAGCAACCAGTTGCTGGTCCCAATTGTGGTTGCTAAACAAGGACTACCTGTATAGTGACGATGAGACTGAGTTGTGAACTAAGACATCCCACATTCAGGTCTCATCTACCCGATCAAAGGGAGCCATATACTAAATCTGAATAAAACATTGAAGCAGTAAAGATGCTCAGATTCAGCAGTATACAAATATATTTATGATACTTAGCTATAGTTTTCCTTTCCTGCCAGTTCAGGGTTGGACATCTTCAGAACCTTCATGTTTCATGAGTTCGTCACTGAAAGCCTCTTTACTGGTCCTACATTTGATGTCAACAACCAGTTTGGTTTTCCACAGCAATTTCAAAAATTGCTCTTAAAAAAGTCCCCCCCCCCACTTATAATTGTTTAGGAAGGAGTTGAAAATATATTTTACGTTCTATTCCTTTATGTTTGTATTTTTTTTCTCTTTTGTTGTTATTTATGTCTGATGTTTTTTATATTGGGATATGGTTTCAATTCTTATTTTGCTGGCAAGCCGCCCAGAGTCACTTTTTGTGAGATAGGTGGCTATAGAAATTCGCTAAACAAACAAAATAATTAACAATACGATCACTACTACTAATTAGACTCACTTTTTGTGAGATAGGTGGCTATATAAATTTGCTAAATAAATAAACAAAATCATTAACAATACTACTACTACTACTACTAACAATAATTTATTCACCTTGTATGCCATCTGACTCTCAATGACACTGGCTCAGCAATCAAAGAAATTACAATAAAGTCAATAAAAGATAAAGGTAAAAGATGGAAAATATGATGAAGCGAGGGGTCCCACTCTCCCTCCCCAAGGCCTGGGTGAAGAGCCAGGTCTTCACGGCTCTTCTAAACCCCAGCGGTGTGGGGGCCATCTGGATCTCTTGGGGAACCTCGTTCCAGAGGGCTGCCACTGCTACACAGAAGGCACATTTCTGGGGTCCCGATAGATGGCATTAATTGAAGACACCCGGAGCGCGCCAACCCCGTCAGATTGCATCAGCCAGGCAGATGCTATGGGAGACAGGCGGTCCCTTAAGTAACCAGGCCCTATGCCGTGTAGGGCTTTATAAGTAACAACCCACACCTTGAATTGCACCCAGAAGCAAACCGACAAGCAGCAGAGGTGTTACGTGGGCATTCCGCCTCCTTGGATTTCATCTGTTTACTTTATCTGTTTCTTTACTTTTGATTGTTACGGCGTTTTTAACAGTTGTGTGATATGCCGTCCAGAGTCACGTGTTTGTGAGATGGGCGGCTATATAAATATGCTAAATAAATAAATGCATAGGTGCCAAGGCATGCCCATGACTGCTCGGGCCGTTGCATTTCAGACCAGTTGAAGCTTCTGGGTGATCTTCAAGGGCAGCCCCACCTAGCACACATTGCAGTAATCAAGCCGTGAGGTGACTAGGGCATGAGTGACATAAAGTTTAATTTAATGTAATTCAGCAAACCATCTGGGTGAGTGAACCTATTTAATACACAATTCTATATCCTTCTCCCTTACTCTTTAGAGCAGTGCTTCCCAACCTTGGGAAGTTTAAGATGTGTGGACTTCAACTCCCAGAATTCCCCAGCCAGCAATTCTCAGAATTCCCCAGTAGCAAGG